AAACAAGCTGATTAGTAAGTTTGTTTTTCTAACATTAGGAAAACCTAAAAACGCTATTTGTTGATGGTGTGTCATTATTTTTTTTAATCAAATATATGAAAAAATGATCCAAATAGAGGATAAAACAAGTTTAACATCGTCCAACGATTGTAATGTCTTATCAGGTGTCAAACGTTTCATGTTGAATTTCTTTTGACGTAAAATTTCATTTCAGCTACAGAATCTCAAATCGCTGTCTTTGGAAGATGCTAAATTATAAAAGAAAAAATATCAGTTCATCGTTCTTACCAAAATCTATTAGAGAGTCGACATGCTACCACGAGTGCTGATGGCAGCTTTTTCTATTCGTGCTTTTAGACATAGACGTGCTTTGGCGAAACATCTTCTCTTGATACAAAAATAAATAACATATGTTTGCTAGACACATGTGTCATTTATCAATCGTTAATCCATTGTACAAAGTTATTTTTCTCTTTTTTTCTTTTTCTTCTTTCATTTTGTTTGTATGTAGTGATAAAGTAACTCTTAGGGTGCTCTCAAATTCATAGAAAAAAAAATTGAAATATAGAATAGTACAACACGATGTAAGCAAAGGAACTGCTAACACTTGCAATTTAACTTGATTTGTGCGTGAGGCATAGTGGGCAACCACGTGGACACTAGGTGAAAAATTAAAAGTGGCCTTTTTGACGATTCAAATCGTGCTACATATACTCCGGATTTCGAACTGTTTAACGGCGTAAAAATTTTTGCCATAAGTGAATTTGCGGAAAAAATGCATGACTAAAACATAACCCGGATTTTTTGCGACCTCTATAGAAAAAAAAATTTTTTCATAGATTTTATCACTTTGAAATTTATAGTATATATTTGGAATCTAGGACCTTTTAGCTATCGATTCAAAAAAAAAATAGTTTTTTTTCGAGACTTTAGCGTCAGAAAAAAAAAATTTTTCTTTCTTCGCTCAATGTTTTCCGAAGGCATATGCTCAGTATTATGAGTTTCCGAATGCTTTCGAAGCTCCAAATTCATTGAAACTTTCATAGAATGATCTTCTTTTCACAATACATCTGTACGAATTGCATAATTAGCAAAAATGATCCTGGACTGACTTATAGGTTTTCCGATAAAATCCATTTTTCTCTCCCCAGAAGCACTTTCATCAAAAACTAATATTATATTTAGAATCAGCGCATCGAACTGCATCGAATGATATGTCAGTTGTATATTTTTATGCGCAACAAACCGTTTGATTTAACGAAATGACAGATTTGCAGCATTCTCATAGCAATTTTGGCTAGGCGTGTGGATATGTCAAGTGAGAAAAAGCGTTTTGGAATGGTACGAAATGGCTTGGAATGGGCCATTCCGTACCATTCTAAAGTGGTAAAAAATGTTTGGAATGGTGTGGAATGGCCCATTCCGCTTTTTCCCCCTTGGAACATGTGCTATAAAAATGATACGAAAGCCTCTTAACGCTATTTTTATAAGTTTTAGTATGCGCTCTTTCCAATGGTGTGATTTACAAGTTCAAAGATACTTTTATCATAGTTTTCCAATGATCCAGTCTCTGGAAAACCAGACTAAAGGTGTTTTTGGACGTTGCAAATCACACCATTGGAAAGAGCGCATACTAAAACTTTAAAAATAGTATTAAGAGGCTTTCGTATTACTTTTATAGCACATGTCCACGTGCCTAGTCAAAATTGCCCACTGTGTGAGATTCAAGCCTGTCTAACACAAACACCCGACTTAGCGAAATGAGATATTTTAACGTACCATATAGAAATATAAGCCCAGCTTCCAAAACTCTGCTTCAAACTAGCCTTCTAAACACTGCTGTCGTTGATGACTAAGAAAGATGTGGATGACTGCCATTCACTACAGTTTTCTTTAGTGATCATTTTCGATAAATCTATATTGTAATCTTGAATTAATTTCCAGTTTATAGAAAATCGACCAAAAAATCGTCGGGGATTTTCTAGTTTATAGAAAATCTACTTGAATTTCCATAAGTTCGATTTTCTATAAAGGTGGAGAATAGCTGAGGGTTTTCTATAAACTGGAAAATCGCTAGGGATTTTCTTGTTTATAGAAAATCAATCGAATTTCTATAAATAATTTCCAAGAATCTGGAAATTAGATATTGATTTTCTATAAACTGGAAGTTCGACATCGAATTTCCAGTTTCTTGGGAATTATTTATAGAAATTCAATTGATTTTCTAGAAAGTGGAAATTCGCCCAGGAATTTTCAGACCAAATACGTATTCATCTTTTTGTTTCGCAATCAGTGTAGGTATAAAAGAGCCACGTAAAGACAGTAATATTACACTTAAATCAACTTTGACAGTTTCTACTTTAGATCACAATTCTGCCTATGCCAGCAAGAAGTTTGATTTAGGTAGAGACAGTGGTGGCACGAAGTTTCGGTAGGAAGATCCCAAAATCGGAGACGTTCACCAAAAATTTCTCAAAATCATGAGGGAGCGGGATCAATCCCAATATAACCTGGTCGCGCCGCCACTTAGTGCAGATCCGCCAAGGAATTTCCAATTTATAGAAAATCAAAAAGGAGTTTCTACTTTCTTGAGAATTATTTAGGGAAACACAACGATGATTTTCTAAAATTGTTGGCAATTCAATTTTCTATAAACTGGAAAATCCTCGAAGAATTCCTATAGGTACTCTTTGAAATTCGCTGAGCATTTTTGTGTTTTTTTCGATTGTAGGTATGATCATTACTTAACAGCGATCTAATCTAAATACATAACCAGTAAATGACATTATCGTCCATTCTAACAAAAAATAAACATGAAATTTTTGAATTTCATGGATTTATTTTTGTGTGAATTGCTATAACTATTTTGAACTAAAATAGGACATTCTGAGAGATGGAAAGCTTAAGAACATCTACATTCTAGAAGAAAAACACTGTTAGACAAACCGATTTTGAAAATCATAGTCTTTTAACTTGGGTAAAAATCAACATTGATCGAAACATATTTTAAAGAAGAACGATTTTACTCTCGCGTCATTTTTAGCTAACTTTTCCTAGAGATTATTCTTAGAACGTTGCTCAGATACAATTTCATATTAAAAAAATTATTTTCACACACTTATAATCTTCACTGAATACTGTTGAAGTTCTGCTCCTCCACATTTCTGAATAAAGTGCGAAGCCTCTCTGAATTTTTTACGAATACAGTTCTGTTTTATCATGTAAATATCAATTGTGAAAATGTACCTGAAAAAATTCGCATCGTAGAGTCGCTGATTAATCAATAGCAAAAATTTAGCTTTCAAAAGAGATAAGGAAGAGAGAAAAGTATGCCAGTATCAGCGACTATACGATTAATATTGTTTACTGAACGAAAGAAACAATGAAAACAGTAAAATATTGAAAAAATTCTGTTCAAATAATACCCGCATTAGTCTAAAAAGCACTTTTACCGTTACAAGCAAGCAAGCGAAAAAAAGGTTATCGCAATCAACGATTATGCCTCAAAATTCGACTAGTCAGACAAAATAGAAGACCATCTGGTCTTCTAGTTTGGGGATTCATTGCGTATTAAATATTACTCAACATGACAATGGGATTATTCTTAAACAATAATCTTTCGTATTTACTGTGAGAACTGACAAAATTCAGTTGCATGAAAAAGTGTAATCTGTGGGACTCAAATTCATTGAATAGAAAGCTTAGATATGGTCAGAGAATATTAAAAGTCTTATTTAAAACAGTCAGATCTCTTGAACAAACACGAGAAATCGATGATGGCTCTATTGTGTACCTTAAATAGTGACATACGGCAGCGTCATCAGTAGCCTTTCTCATTAAGGATTAATTATCCGAAAACTTTGATCGCTTCAAACGGAATATATCATAATTTCGGCTTATAATTAAAATTTCCGTCCAATGAATTTGAGTCTCATCCATTAAAAAAAAGAGATGATGCTTATTTTGCTTTCGATTATATGAGTCATCAATTATCAGACCACACACTAATTATTCAAATGCATATATCATTCGCAATTTTCTTAAATCTAAGTGGCATAGTCTTCTATTAGATCAATATGCTCGGCAGTCTTACATCTAGATCTATCTGATTTAAATTCAGTAAAATAATCGGAGAATAGATGGATAATTTTAGTTAAAAGAAGAAAAAAAAAGAACATATTTTATATAAATATATTTATTTGCTCAACTAACAACAATCTAAAATAACAATTTTTTTATCAAAGAAAACAACAAACAACCAAATAACAAGCTTATGAATAATAACAAAAATAAAATACCAACATAATAATAAAAAAAAAGTAAAGTTTTTTTTTCCTTTAACCACTACTAAAATAAAACACGTTTAATAAAAAATATTTTAAATAGAGTTGACAAGCGAAAAATTTCTAGCGAAAAATTTTCATTCATAAAAGAAAAAAAGAAAAAGTAGAACTTTTTAAATAGAATAGTTTTTATATTTGCAGTAGATATTTAACTTTAAACTATGACTATGATTAACAATAAACAAATAGGAATTTCTTTTTTAAATTACATAACCTAATCAATTGTACAATAATAAGTTTAAACAGAATATTATAACATAAAAACTTTATGACGTCTTTGATTTCTTCTGTATATTTGAGATAAAAGTGTATAGTATAAAAAGTGAAACAATAAGTCAGTGTCTATCTGGATATTTCGAACGAGAACTGATATTGAAAGTTAACATGTAACCAAAAAAAAGTGTATAGATTTAAAAAAATAAAATTTGTTTTTTTTTTGAACTGTTAATTTATTGCACGATTGTATCCAATAGGGTCCTCTTGTAACGCAACTATACTGGTGTTTACTTAAATTTTAGTAAAAACTGATTTTTACTTCAAATCACAGAATATCTGGATAGTTTTAAACTTTCTTTTGCACTATAACTATTAATCTTATTATGTTTGATAGATAAAAAGAGAAATAAATTAAAAATTATTCAGATATTTTTCGTCTACTTAAATTCGTATTTTTCTCATAATAAAACAGAATCCATGTAAACATACTGGTCTTTTACCACTTAATAATAAATAGCAAACAAGTAATAAAAATCCAATTCCATATGACCAATAAACAGTTGATTCTCGTGGTAAATAACATTTTTTCACTTCTTCATTATTCGATGTTATTGTTAACATCATAAATGATGGATTATTTCGATTAATCCAACTAAATGATGGTACGGTGTACTCTTTGATATTACGTTTATTCTTATCATTAACATGTTCAATATAACAATAATGATGAGTATGACCATTGAATACTAGACGTGGTTTTAATATTTTTAATAACTAAAATAATGAACACAAATAAGAATTAGACAAATTTGAAGAAAAAAAAAAATTTCAGATTACATACTGATGTTCTACTTACTTAGATTAATAAATTAGTCAATTAGTAAATATAATTTGTCAAAAAGATATTTTTCTTTACACAATTATCGATCTCAGACATTGATTACCTCTGCGCTCATGTTTTTTGTTTTTTTTTGTTTTATCTTTGTGTCACCATTTCGAAAACAATATAAACTAATACGAATGGAACAAATAAATAGTTCAAAACACTCATATCCATTATTCAGACAATGAATGTGAACACAACTCTGATAAGAGATTTCAATTCGGATAGAGAGAAACCTTTCACCTAAATGATGATACTGTCAGTCAGATTTTGGAAATTATTATTTTTTCAAAAAAATTGTTAAACTGTTTTATGAGTACAACAAATATCATAATTAGCTTGAATAGATAGTAGGAATTTGACAGCTGGACGCTTGATTTAACACACTCACAACAAATAAACGGTCTGCTAAAATAACTGATAAACAGTTTTTTAATTCAAATAGTCTGTCAAACACATAAATGTTTTCTTTGTTTAAAAAGAAAAATTAATCTATTGAACAAGTCGATGAGATTAGCCAAAAAAATATTTACACACGTCAAAAGGATATAATTATCAAGTTCTGTATGAACGAGACAAACAAGTAAAAAAACTCCACATTTAGCTTTAGCGATGAATGAGAATGAAATGACAGAAAAATGTACAATATAATACTCAGTAGTGACAAGATGATTCAATTCGAAAAACTTCTTTACACAGTGATATATCAGACCATTGAAAGAAGACACCTTTGTTTTTGTGTCATTAGTTTTCACGTCAGCAGATAAGTTCTTGACATATTATTGTAAATTTACTAGAAAATTTGTAAATTATTAATATTCTATTAATTCTAAAATATAATACAAAACAACTACGTTTTTTATTCACATTTAATAGGGAAAATAATATAGATCTGTGGATTTTGTTCCGTCAGCAATAGAAATATATTTTTACTCAATTTTACATGATTTTGCGTACTGCTAGTAACAAAAATCATCAATAGAATGCCAATTGGCTACTTCTCTAAGATCGTCGAAAAGGTGTTTTATTCACGTATTTTTCACTTTATATAAACTTTATTAAAGACAGAATGATGAGAAAACAGAGACAAGTCCATTGTATCTTTTACATCACTAACTAAGAGACAAAAGACAAATAAAAAAGAAGTAATTAAATCAAACATAGACAAAAATGTGACTAAGGATACAAGGAGAGAGTATAGATTTAAAAACGCTGTGTGTCTTCAATCAATGTGGGTTGTTATAATACTATGAAGTAGACAAATTTTGTCTACATTTAAGCGAATTAAGGGTTTTAGAAGAAGAATATGTTCTAGAGTATAAGAGCTGCCGTTTGTTAGAGCAATCCAGTCATTTTCGAAGATAGTTCTGCTTTGCTGGTAATTTTGACAACCCAAAAAAGAAATGCCTTACTGTCTCATTTTCACCCCCACACACACAATGGACTACTTATATGATTGAATAAGAAGAAATGTTTAGAACAACCTCAGATGTATCGAGTGAATTTATAAAACATCAAAACACTTCTAAATTAATCTTTTTATTTTAATACGAATTTCCAGAAAATTAAATATTTTCTAAACTTTTCAAGTGATTTGGTTGGATTTTGCAATTGGTGTACAGCTCAAATCAGGATATATTTTTCAAAACTTAGGTTCACTACATTTTCTCACTTTTTTCCTAAAAATAAGCGTTCCTACATGATTCAGCGTGATTAATACTCTATACTTCCGTTTTACTTCGAGGTTATTCAATACCAGTCTTGTGATTCTCAACAAAATTGATCTCAACTTAAAGTAATTTAAACTTGGTGAACCCAAGGTATGTATATATTTTCATGTTTAAAGAAAAGTGTCTACTTTGTTGAATGTGTGACAATTACGCAAGAATATAAATGTTTTTGTTTATCTATGATTAATGACAATAAATTTTTGACATCAATTGTCTGAAGATCAATCATTAAAACGATAATTGTACAGAAAAGGACTAAATGAGAATAGTAAAAAAGAAAGGAGCTAGAATGAGACATCAATTGTATCATCTTATTTCCATAAAATATTTAAACAAAGATGAATGCCGTTTGAAACGTTTAACATGCTTCTTCTTATTATTATTATGTTTCATTAGTAAAACGTTCGTTTATAGACGATAAGGCAAGGGGGAAACAGCTGATTCCGACTTTTACCGATTCTTGCTGATTTTGCTGATCCTGGTCGATTTTCACCAAATGAAAAGTCACCGGAAATGACTGGAAGTCATTGAAAATCACAGAGAATTACAGAAGATCACTGAAAATCAATTGATTTTGTGTGATTTTCGACTGATTCTGACCTGATTTCAGTCAGCTGTTTCCCCCTTGCGATGAGGGCAAGTGACGTAACATAAGACATGAGAAGAAGTAGCAACTAACGAGGAAACGTTCCCAACTGACCAATCGCTTTCGAGCCGAAACCTAGTAGACTATAGATAGTCGACCATGCTAATTCCAAAAATCAACATGAGACGGGGTAATAAGCCGGTTTTCTGGAAAAAGTTTTTCGGAAACTCTAAAAGATAACCTTTCATAATGAGGCATAATTGTAGCCCGCACATTTCTTATTAAAATGAGACATTCCCTAGCTCTACACGACCTTTCTTTATAAAGTTATAGAATTTACAAGAAAAGCCCTAAATTATTTTCTTCTTATTTCTGTAGCTTTGAGCTAACAATGAACATTTAGGGCTTTTCTTGTAAATTCTATAACTTTACAAAGAAAGGTCGTGTAGAGCTAGGGAATGTCTCATTTTAATCAGAAATGTGCGGTCTACAATCATGTCTCATTAAGAAAGGTTTTGATTAACTTTAGAGTTTTTTGGGTTGGAGTTTCTGAAAAACTGATTTTCCAGAAAAACGATCTATTAGCCCGTCTCATGTTGAATTCCGGAATCAGCATGGTCGATTACCTATAGTTCAGTAGGTTTCGGCTCGAAAGCGACTGGTTAGCTGAGAATGTTTCTTCGTAAGTAGAACCAAAAGAAAATGAGAAAATGAGAGAACGATGACGTTATAAACGACTTCTTTTCACTAGTTGGTGAAAATAGATGCCAAATAATAAATAAAACTTACTCTTTGTGTTGTATCATTTGATAAAACATCATAATTTTCTTTCATTTGTTTTGTATAACGTTGTGGATCTAAATCATCCTCGTTATCTGATGTACAATTTTCATCTGTTAATCTATACAATGGAAAATGTGTTAATAATATTGGGTGTGTATAAATTAATTCACGATTATGATATAATGTTTTATATTTTTCACAATGTGATGATTCTTGTTCTAAACATTCTAATTTTTCTTTAATAATTGATAAATCATGTTCAGCTCTTGCACACATTCGACAATTATCACCTTCAAATGCCATTGAATTTGCAAGTACAAAATGAACATTTTCATATGTAATTAGAGTCAAATATGGTGAGTCTAAAAATGATTTTTCAAAACGTTCTAATTTACCATCAGTTACAGTATAATGAAAACCAATATCATGATTTCTTAATAAAACAAGAAAAAAAATAACCTTTTTTTTCTCAATAATAATATATTTTTTTCAAATGAAAAAGACTTACCCAACAATAACATGAACAGTTGTTTGTGGTGGATGATGAAATATTAATTGAAATCTTTTTACATAACTTTCCCATTGATCATTTGTTGCCTGTCGTCCTTCATCTATTAAATCACCAAGAAAAAATATTAAATTTGGTTCAAATAGAAATAATGCTGATTGATATGATCGATACATTTGCCATTCTCGTCTCAATTTATCAAACCAATAACCATCATGTTTGTTTAATAAATGTGGATCAGCTATAAATAATACTCGTAAGGGTTTTGCATTTTTGTCTAATGTTTGTATTGTAAAATCTTGATGTAATTTTGATAATTGTGGCCATGAACAACGTAATAATACAAGATAATAAATCAATAATTCACAATAAAATAATAAAAATAATAGACATGCGAAAAATTTAATTGTTAACGATAAAAATGATGAAGACATTCAATTTGATATGTAGACGAAACATCTGAATAATTTTATGATGACACAGTGTCTGAATATCAAAGAAAAACAAAAACAAAATCTATAATTAGAATCATGATTAACGGATAGGAATCAACACATAAATTTATAAAAATAAAATATTTAATTCTTATATCAATCTCAGAACAGTTACTCTATTATTTCATATTGTAACCAAAAATAAATGTTTATCATAACGTATACATATACAAAATGGACGGTATAATTCTGCTATTTGTTCTTCTCACAGATTTTTAACAAAAGAACGTTTAAAGTTGTACAACATTTAGAATTGTAGAGAAAAACGTTTCTAAATCTCATGAGACATCTCCGAACTCTCTACAGTCTTTCATTTACAAAATACAGTGGAGTACAACACACGCTTTTCAAACTTCATTTTTAGAAAAGAAGCTCTACAATCTTAAATGTTTCTCAGTTTCAGTTGTTCTCTTGTTAAAAGAGAAACAAACTGTAAGAATTTTGTAACAAAATTTTCATTCTGATAGGCGAGTGAAGTGGGAGTGAACTGAAAATTGTAAACATTCGGGAAATTAATCTGTCAAATAGCAAAAATGAAAGGACAAATTATTATTCTTAACTCAAATGAGACATATTGAATTCTTGATGACGACAAAAACATTGGCTAAAATATGAAGGAGCAAAAAAAGAAAACCGCCTTGTTGTCAATATAATTCAAACACGATTCATTTATTTATTTATTTATGACATACTTATCATGAGGATCTGTTTTTGAGAAAAAAAATTAGCAAAAAAACCTATAAACTTTTATAGCTTATTATTTCTCAATAAACATTATACAAAAAACTGTCGAACGAACATTTTGTTGGACGAAATAAACATGGAAAACAGAAGAAGAAATAATTACATAAAAGTATGTGAGAATAAATGTAGAAAAGCAACAAACAACACTCGTATAAAGCAACATACATATAATTCAACTGTTGTCTAAAAGTACTACCTGAGAAAAATCAAAGCACATTTTTTTAAGTAGAAACATCATAACACTAATTTCTTCACCTAAAAATGAAAAAAATAACAATAATAACGTTAGTAGTGAAACGACGATTCATCATTTCTGATATGCACAGTGGAAAGAATTTTAACTTTAACGAGTAGTAAGTTCAAAGTTTCTCATAGATAAAGAAGATGGAATTTTGAGACGTTTTTTTCCTATGTTTTCAAACATTTGTATATCACAAACAAAGTATACAATGGAATTCATACACGTTTTGCCTATCTTATTTAGTCTTTTTTTTTCACGTTAGAAACAGAGCGGAATTAAAAATACAAAGCAGCTCAACATGTATAAATAATCGAATCTTTTCCTGTACTGTTACCCTAAATTTTTTGATAATATTTTTGTCTAATATCCTATAGAAAACGAAATACAAAGGAAGATGTTTGTGGCAGAGTAAGTATGATTAGGTCTGAAACGGTAATCGTTACCGTTTCTTACTGATAAAACAGTAACCGTGCTTTACTGATTACAGTTAGTTCTCCACACAAATCAAATTTTAACAAAAAATAATTCAACGCGTATTTTCTCTTTGAAGAAAACATTTTTGAAAATTTTGTCTAGAATATAAAATGTAATAAATTTAATTTTCTAAATTTTATCTGATAGTACCAAATTTTTACAGATTGAACTTCATGAAAAAAATCCAGTGAATATTGTTTCTTATCCTGAAGATCGATTTGTACAAAGTTGAGTCTAGCAGATAAACATTTAAGAAATTAAAGTTGCTACATTTTATGTTCTAAACTCATCATGAAAAGCTCTTCCTTCATAGCGAAAAATCGAAAATATCACCTTTTTGGCCAATTAATTTTCTAAATGTTTATCTGCTAGACTCAACTTTGTACAAATCGATCTTCAGGATAATAAACGGTATTCACTGTTTTTTTCCATGAAGATCGATTAGTAGAAATTTCAAAGTTAATACTAGCAGATAAACATTTAGAAAATTAAATTTATTACATTTTCCTCGCTAAACACAATTCTCAAAAATGTTTTCTTTTCAAAGAGAAAATACGAGTTAAAGTTTTTTTTTGTTAAAATGTGATTCGTCTGGAGAACTAAACTGTAACCGGTAAAGTATGATTACTGAGAGAGTAGTTGTCGGTAGAGCGGTAATGGTAAACCGGTAAATTGCATGCCTAAGGATGATATGTACAAGAATATCAGTCTATTTTCTCAAGTACTTTTTCAGCATTTTATTCATAACTCTATTGCTCTTTAGCACAAACATCCATTTCTATGTATACATTAAATTGTAGATAGACGTTAAACTAGTTATACTTTTTAAATTACTTTGTCGTTTAACTTTGTTCCATTTCAACTAAAGTAAGACAGGCAAGACATGTGTGATTACATTATGTACTTCGTTTAATAATACGTATATGTTTAAAAAAAAATATAAGAAAACACTGATACTGATATGTAATGTCAAAATATAGTCAAATGTGATTTGGATCGATTGAAACCCAAAAAATTCTGTTAGTAATACACTGTGCATAGTATGTTTCTTAAATTGTACATACTTTTTCATCGATATAATTAAATTGCCATGTCCATTGTGGACATCCAAGTACCGGTCGAATATCATCTGTATTTTCTTGTTCGATACAACAAGCCATTGATGTTGCTGAAAATTTATGACGATGTGAGGATATTGTACGAAAAAAAAATTTCACTTTTTCAGCCACCTTTTATACATTAAAAAGAGAAAAATATATATAAAATATAATATTATATTGACAAATAATAGTTAATTCTCACTTCATTTGGTTTATGTCTTGTTGACCATTGTGATAATAATTTACAAAACATTGAAAATGGTCCACAATGTTGTTCCATTCTTAATTTTGAATATGTAGTCAAATCTTCAAATGACATACCCATTTCACTCTAAAACATTTTGATAAAATAAATGAATAATTAAATAAATAAAAAGAAATAAGATAGTTACCTCTTTTGTTTCACCATGAGATAATGGAACTAATTCTGAATTTGGTGTTGTATCACATATTCTAAAATAGAATAAAGAAGAACTAGATAGTATATCATTTTATTGATTAAAAATACAAACAAATAAGTCTATTTTTGCAGAATGTGACATTTGAAGAATTATGTGGATAATAAAAAAGGATATGGTATAGACACACTGAACTTATTATTTTTTTTCCAGTAAAAATATAAATTTTAACAGTTTCAACACAAATTTTTGAACTAATTTCAACAGAGAAGATTAGTCTTCACAATAATATTTAGTTGATATGAATAGTCAATAAATATTATAATTCAAATGATTGAGGCAAAAATCTAATTAAAAACGATTTTTTTTCTCTTCTGTACGGCTTGATCACGTAACTCTGTTATCGCAGTGTAATTTCATCACGGTTCTTTTTTACATTTTGTTTCTTCTATAATTCTCGAACAAGAACGTGTCAGAAGTTCTGCAACGACTCATATCAAAGAGAAAAGTGTGCTGAATATTTTGAGATTTTGACACATTCTACATCTTCTTTTGTTTAGGAAATATACAGCAACTACTTTTCAAAATTTATTTGAAAAAGTAACAGTTCGTATTTTTGCTATTGTTCCTAAACAAAACAAAAAGATGTAGAGTGTGCCAAAATCTCAAAATATTCAGCACACTTTTCTCTTTGATATGAGATATTGCAGAGCTCTGAACATGTTCTTGTTCGAGAATTATAGAAGAAACAGAATGCAAAAAAAGAAAACGTGACAAAATTACTCTGCAGTGACAGAGTCACGTGAACAATCCTGAATGAACGATCAATTAGACAATATAAATAAGGAATTAATTATACCTTCTCACTGTCATAAGATTAAATGTTTGTGCACAATAGCTTAAAAATAGATGTAAATTTATTCTTGATAAACCACCAATGGGATTAACATCGCCCGATGAACAATCATATTTTGCAAAATGTCCAATTGATCTAAAAATAAGAAAAGAGATAATAGTTTATTTATTAAATATTTTTAATTTATTTTAAACCTTTCATTTGAATTTTTAGAACCGAGTACGAGTAACCATCCAGGACGACCTGCTGTCCACAAACATAATTGGGCAAAAAAGTAAGATAATACCATACGAACACGACCCTAAGAAAAAAAACCAGAAAATACATAAAAAAAGAAAACTATTTGTATCAAAATTCTTTTACTTACTTGCAAATTTTTTAATGCTTGATTTTCAGTTATTGATCCCTGATTGGCCGTAAATCTTGGTGTAGATTTTAATACCGAATTGAATATTGCTAAGATTGAATTGATCACCGTATCAATTAAAACCGAAAAATGGGTACTAAAAAAAATCCCAAAACCAAAAGGTTATCGTATAATATAAGAGGAATGATGATATCGTTTTTTAGTCAACAATGCTGAAAAGATTAAGTAACAGAATAGAACAACAGAATTTTTTTAATCCTATTCTTAAACTTTATTTTATAATTGACTAAACATGCATATTTCTCGAATTACTCAAGGACAAAAAGTAGTAGAGACTTGTGATTCATCCCTTTCGAAAGAAAAGACGTGAGACTATTGTTTTTTAAATAAAAACTTTTTTGGGGAGAAGATTTCAACTTATTCTTCTAGAGATTCTTCTAGCAGTCAAATTTCACTCTAGACTTACTTAAGAAATATTTACATTTAGCGTTTTCGATACAGGTTTTGGGAGCAGATGGAAAGTTCGCTGAGTAACTAAAGTTTTTTTCTGAGTAACTGTACGTTTAAAACTAATTGAAGATTGAAAATGAGCTTGACAGTAGTGCCTATTTTCTTTCTTCATTATATTTTTTTTTTCAAAACAAGATTCATTAACAATAAGTAGTTTCTCAAGGAGGGAAACCAAGTTACTCAGACGTTAGAAAAAATCACTTAACTTCATAAAAGGCAGTTTTTCAGCTTAAATTTTCTAAAAAATTTTTTGGATTAACTCCTATCCAAACGAGAAGGTGGATTTCTACTCCTTTCCACCTTCCAATCGAAAACGCTGTCTACATTTACTCAATTATAAAAAGCATATGAAGTATCTTATATTGACATGCTCTACGTCGTAGAGAAAAGGAAAGAGAATTGAAAAAGATTATTTAATAAGAGAAATGAAAAAAATCTCAACAGTTTGATACTAGAAATGTCAAGAGGACTATAAAACAATTAATTACTTTTGTTCAAATGAAATTATCTTTAAAAATTTTCTTTTATCAGTAAGAAATGTGAACTTTAATGATACTTGAACCCTACGATATTCACCATCTAAAAAGAGTATTTCAATTATGTAACGAAATACATCCAAATATTTTCTATAAAGTTCTGTATCTTTTAGTGTTAAATTTGTCGATTAAAATTTACAAATTGAAAGTAAAATATTGTCATTTTTATATAATTCAGTCTTAGATCTCATTTTATTTGGAGCAACAAAATTTTTGGATAAATTTTTTTGATCACAAATTGAAAATTTTCAGAATAATCGTCACTTAAACAAAAAATAATTGACTAGTTTTCTATGGTTCGTCCATCATTACGTGAAGAAATACTATAGTACATGAAAGTTCTTAAAAATATTTTAACATCTTAAGTATTATTTATTTATAAATTGAAATTTAAACTGTTCAAAAATTTTCAAAATATTTTCAAGAACGAGTGATGTAATTAAAAACGCATCCAAATAAGACGCACTAAAATCGAAATACGCTCAAATGAGAACGTGCTCATATGCCGCCCTCCCATCAGAAGTGTTAATCAGGCATGAGCGAGTCCGAGTCCATTTTGAGTCCGGTAATCTTGTAGATTCTTTTTTGATGAAGTTGGTTTATATTTTAATTTGCTGAGCCCTGGATAGATATTTGATTTTTCGAAAATAAGACTACGTTCCATGGCCGTCTCTCGAACAAAATTTTCAGTTTCATGTGAAACAGTAGATGTTGTTATTTCACTTTTCATTTTTCTCTGCTAATTTATGTTAAAAGTTGAATAGATCGGACTCGAAATACAAAAACTCAAGTCCGAGTCTGTCAAAAAATCTTCCAGTTTGGACTCGGATTCGCCTAAGCCTGGTGTCAATACTTAAGCTATTCGATAAAGAAGAACAAAAATACAAAGGATCAGCTGGATAATGGAAGGCTAAAACGAATGTTATACGCTGGATATAAGTAAGATAGAATTTTTGATAAAAAAGAGTTAGATAAAACTCATATAATTAATAACTGTAGTATAAGAAAAAAATGCGAAAATTAAGATGAACAATTACTAATAAAAATATGTTAGAGGACAACCTATTATAGAATTATGAGAGGAAAAAAGTAATATTTGACACTTTATTATTACAATTTTATACTTACGAGGGAACCCCACGAAGTGATTAAACGCTTTTTGCTCGGAATCTAGTGGGTTATAGGTTATCGACCATGCTGATTACGAATACGACCATGCGGCTTCCGCATAGCCCTTCGAAGACC